TCCCCTATTTGTCTTGTGTTTCTGCATCTAGTTCTGGGGGAACCTGTTCTGAACTTTGTGCTGCAGACTGTTGTGTAATATAGATGCCTCATGAGGTTTGCACAGAGGCTGTGAGACTGGCTGCTTGCTGGAAGAGAAGCCTAGATTCCAGGCATGCTAGATTTACCCTGGAAAGCAGGATAAATGAGAAGGCAGAGAGTTCTCTGGTTCTGTATCGGGTATTTACAATAACACTCTTGGGTATCTCTCAGAGCCAATGTCTTTACAGTTCAGCTTGCTATGCGTGTGTTATTTTAGCTCTAAAACTCCATTTGAAATCCTCAAAGTAATATTCTCTATTAACTGGAGTGATCTCAGGATTTTGTCCTTTTATCCACTTATTCTCTCAAATTTCAAATGGGAAATGCTATCTGATATTGATTGCAGTAGTATGCACAGTTATCTGTTGGCAAACTAGGCTGAAACCACTGACATTTCTCACACTGACCAATAAATATAGTAGTGATTTACTTGTAACTAACTTGGGTTCCATAGGTTAGTACAGCATTCACTGAACCATCTGGTCTCCCTTGTTAGTCTCTATTTACTTTGTCTTTCTTTCAATACTTCATTTTTGATATCTACTTTTGATCACAGAATTGAATGGTCCAAGCAAGCTTGGGTGGCATTTTGGTACACGTGGTGGTGGATGGCACTGTAAGAGCCAGTAATAATTCTTGTGTTTGGTTCAGACAACTAGTTTTGAATGTGTTTTGATACAATGCTATAAGCTAGTATCTTGTTTCAAAGTAATTGGTTTGGTTTTTATGAATTTCTGTTCAAACTGTTGGTAAAAAATCTCCCAACTTAAGTACAACAGGATAGATACATGTAAGAGAAAAAGTAAGTATGTGTGTTACCGTCAATTAACAGGCCCATTTGAATTCAGCAAATTTTCAGCATTTGAATTAGGCTGGACAGGCTCCTCACAAAACAGTAAAGAGAACAGGAATCTTCAGAGAACATTTAGAATATTCAGCATGCTGAGAATAAGATTTTTCTTTTAGAGGTTCGTACTTTTTTCCTTTAACTTTAAAAAGGACCAAAGGCAGTTAAGTTCTAGCTGAGGTGCTGAAAACAAAGTAAGCTCAGCTTTGGGTGCCTAAGTAAAGCTATAAATTAGGATATTTGGGCCTTTACATTTATATGTTGTAGTTCATAATTAATTGTATTATCAAGATTTGTACCTCTATTGACTGGCTGCACAGTCTGTATTTTCCCATGTAAGAAGAGGGTTATACAAGCAATTATCTGCTTCCAAATGGATGTGCAGAGTTTACTGACATGATGGACTATGAGCAAATTGTGGGAGCCATAAAAGTGCCTATACTTTTTTTTATTTGGTACTATCCATTCACTCTAGGGATGCATAAAATCTAGTAGTTATTTAAGCCTTTAAAATAGGAAAAGAGCTGAACATAGACATTGATAATAAATTTCATACTTAAGCAAGAGGAGATACTTAGTGGATTTTTGCAGGTTACAACTTGTCTGTGAAAGAAAAGGTTTATGATTAAGTTATTCGTATCTGAGAGAATCAGTAGCTCAGAAAGTGAGCAAGTGCTGGGTACATGAAGCAAATTAACTGTGTCCTGTCTAGAAGGAGGCAAATGAGTTCCAGGGGAAGGACAGCATGGGAAATAGCAGTGGAGAGATACAAGGTTGGAAGAGTGGTATCAGTCCATAGAAAACAGAAGAAAAAAAAAATTTTTTTTTTTTTTAAATTGGGGCTCTTGCTTTTTGTCTCATGGGAGATATTTAATGTTTTTAAAGAAAAGAGGGTAAAAAAAGCCCAGTCCTGTGTCTGTGTCGTCGTTCCCCTCCCCCCCCAGTGTTAATATGCCAATTCTTATTTAAATACAACAGCACTTTCTGCTCGTGTGACTTAAGTGGAATCAAGTCATTCTAAAGTCAGAATAAGACTGGAGAGCCAATGATTTAGATTTATAGTAGATTCACTATAAACTAGAGCACTATAAACCAGGACAGAAGAAAAGTCTGAACTGTTACGATCTCAATAATATGATGCTTAAATTAATTTCACGTCAATATATTTGAAAGTCCATGAGGAAAGTACTAATACAAACTATGTCTGAGGTTGGCCAGTGCCATTTAATAAGATACGTTAAGGGTTTTTTTCTGCAGTCCTTGTACTCTTGTGTGGTATCAAGGGATTCCTACACGGTTTTGTGTTTAAGCATTTAGAAAATTTTCTCCTAAATATGCTGCTCACAAGCACATTTACTACTTTCATATGCAAAAGCATGTTCTTGTCCAGGAAGCAGCCCAAGGGCTACTATGTTCTCTACAGGAATGGTGGGCAACAGTCCTTCCTCATCCACCTCTCCAGTGGCCATGGAAAACTATGCTACTTTGCAGAGATGCAACATGATGTGATGGGTACATACGCAATGCTTGGACACTGGTCTTGTTATTTTGTAGTTCCTTGTACTCTCTATGACAAAGCAAAACCCCCTCTTCTCTGTTAGAAATTGGTCTCAGGAAAGAAAAGCCTCTTTTCTGTGCAAGATAGCTATTTTCTACAAGGCCAGGACCGGTTTCAATGCATTGGTCCCGTAGTGTGTTATACCCAGGTTCATCCTTTTCATAGCCCTTTCACTGTAGTTCCCCTTAATCCAGTTTAGGATTGCATGTACTGCAAACAAAGGCAGCTTACAGGTAGTTCTGACGTGATTTTATTTTTTTTTTACTTGGAGTACTCTTGCAAAGGAAATAGACTGATACTTAGGAAAACATACATTTAATTCTACAACAGGAAGAGCCTACAAGTCCCTAACTGTTAAAAGAGATAATAGACATTTGCTTATATAAATGTGAGCAGCCAAGTTGGATTTGATATTTATGTACACTGAGGCACCTTTACATGAATGGGACATTACAGCGGGTTGTTAATGTGAGAGCAAATTAAAATTGCATGTGCTTTTAGGTCTTTTAGAGATCTGTTGTGAGATAAGGGAGATTAAGTAGTTCAACTACTTAAAAGTTTTTTTTTTTTTAAAAAAAGAGTTGGACTAACAAATGAAGAAGGGCTAACACGTTTAAAACAATAAGTGATGTATTTCTAGGCAGGCCTATTGACTCTCACTAAGTTTGTTACTCATGTCATTTAAGCATTTTTTGTAAATCCATCCCATGTCTCCCAAATCTAGTTGGAAATTGCTTCTATTGAAGTGCCCAACAGAATAATAGAAATTGCTTAAAGAGCATTATTCACTGCATCTATATCACCATATCCAAAGAGAACATTATTCACTTAAGCTTTATGCAACACTGGTCTTTCTCTTGTCAAAGAAAGTAAACACTTAAGGAATAGAACTATTCAGGTAGTTGACACCAGTGAGTACATATCTATCTCTTTCTGCTGGGTTTGCATGCCTTTCCTAGCTTAGTGTCAATACAGAGGCATAGAGAAAGCAATGTGATGTTATCAGAATCTCACTGCCTTTGCTGTAGCTAATATTTTTATTCCTGGAGATCCCTTGACATGCTCAAAATAGCAAATATTGCATATAAAAGCAGGGCAATAAACCAGCAGCAATTAAAAAAATGCTGATAGAAAATGGAAAAAGTCTGAGATGAAAACTGTCCAATATGCTGAACAGCTACGTCAAGCGATTAGTGTCTTTTTCCCTCCATGCAGTCCTGAAGTCAGAGAGGCTTTGATTTTTACACAATGTCATATAGTACCCATTTATTAGTAGATCTCATCCATCACAGTTAGCCTGCAGTGGGTGGAAAAGAATTCAAAAAGAAATGTGGGAGAGTTTCATAGCCAGTGGCATATCCCTTTTAAAAGAAGGCTGACACATGGGATCTAGTCACCTGCGAGGACGTAGTGGAGGTAATGGTGTGACTCAGTGTAACCCTAATGTTTTTGTGTCAAATGGTACTTTATTATAGGTCTCTTTTAGTTATCAGCAGCCTTTATTCTGCCACGGGAACTGGAAAAACAGGGCAGGGAGGTTTCTATTTTGCAAGAATGTAATTTATTAATTGCAGAGTAGCTTAACCTTTTGGATAGTCTCCGCGTAGGTCCAATAACTCAGGTTTGAGCACAGAAGCTTGGATTGATCAGTTCAGTGCTTGGTCAATCACCTACTCATATCAATGATAGTTCATAGTCAGGATTTTCTCTCTTTCTTTCTCTCCTTGGTCAACAGTGCAAGGGACAATTTCCATAATCATTTTCTTCTGAGAAATTTTTTCTTGGGTATTAAAGATAACCTGTTTCCTAGATTTGTGAATACTTCAGTTATTGCAAGTACATTGTGCTATATGTAGAATTATATTTGCTTCAAAAGTGCTTGTTGTACTGCTTACAAAACCAACAGATTACAAAAAAGGTATCCATTAAATGAAAAAGGAAAGTATGGTTTGAAGGTCTGCTGACATCAGAAGGTATTGGATCTGAATATTAATGAGTCATCTGGATGATAAGGTAATAGATGATCATCTGAGAAGTCCTAATAAACAAACATAGGCTGAGAAGCTGACATAGATTCGGAAAATTATAACACACATGCACACACACTTACCACTTGTACCTTTCCCCCAAACTATTTTTGATGAAGGAATAAAAATCCAGTCTTGTAAACACATGCTGAAGTTCTGGTTGCAGTAATCCCGTTTCTTAAAGGCTTGTATATGACTGGAAAGTGCATAACTAAATCCATGTTGACTGTGCCTATTTATGACAACCTGGTTCATTAAATGTGCATATACAATACATTTCTCCAGTTAAATATACAGTAGAAGTGTCTTAACATAGTAGCTCTATATTTTGAGGTTTGTTTATACTTTGTAATTTTCTTGCTTGATGTGACTTTTGGTGAGTTTTAACATTTGCCCAGCCAGTCTCTCTGTCTCTCTCTCTTTCTCTGTGAGGTTCACATGTAAACTGATTTAAAGATTGCATAATGACTGTTTGGCATATCCTACAGGCAAAGGTCCAGAAACCCTTTTTGCTGGCTATAACCTCAATGATAATGAGTGGCACACAGTGCGTGTGGTTCGGCGAGGAAAAAGTTTAAAGTTAATGGTGGATGACCAGCAGGCCATGACAGGTAGTGTGGCATTGTGACTCCGTGTTACTGGGGGGGAAACACAAAACAAAAAATGACAGAAGTGAGATGCCTTTATCTGAAAGCGACAGATGCTTTTTTCTTTTCCTTGAATAAGATCCAAAATCCATGTTATGCATCTTGAAATACTGGTACTACAAGTGCGTTGTTACACTTGATATTAATGTTACTCTAACATCGCTATTGGAATTAATGAAAACCTTCATGCTGACTTAAATGAATGTTTTTATACAGTAATTGGAAAGAAGTCATTTGATACATCACTAATGAGAAGGCAAGTAAAATGCTTTTGGCAACACACTAAATTTATACTAAGGTTAAACTCTAAGCCATTGCTGTAAGAAAGAATTTCATAAACGTTTGAAGGATATTCTATTGTGTTTTAAATCTTGCATCAGCTGTCCTCAATAATTAACTGTTAGGCAACAAGTTTTTCTCAAATACTAAAAAAGCAGTTGGGATGGGAGAAAAAACATGGCATGAATGCTAGCAGATGTTAGAAATATAGTCCTATGTATATATTATCAGAAATGATAATAGAGAAGACTTTGGTTTTATTCTGTTACAGATAAGGCTTACATATGTGTTGTTAATAGCAACAGGCCTGGTTTCTGGCCCCGATTCCTTGCACAATACAACATGCCTAATTTTATGTTAGGTATTTAGTATTTTCCTTTGTTTTCATGTAGTATTAAATAGTTTTTATCATTGGTTCTAAGCTTTGTTAAAATGGCAAAAATTTTAATGGGTTTTTAAAAGGAAAGCACCTTCTTTAGTAGTCCCTTTTCACCTCAGCAGAACACTGAAGACCATGTCACTGGTAGAAAAATAATTGCTATGTATTCATACAGTTGCAAGAACATGTCTTCTGGAATCAGAAATTACTAATAGATCTTCCAGAGGTGAAGTAAAAATTTGGTTTCTGTATGCGGTGGTGCTTTGGGTCATTCTCTCAAGAAAGTAGATGGCCTAAACCAGCTTGGGGTTTTTTTGTGAAAAGAAATATATAGTGTTGCAGGAACTGTACTGGAAAAATATCACCATCTTGCTGATTCAACTGCAACTCAAAAAATGAGGCTACTTTGGGGATGTTTTCTAGTTAGAGAAAGTTATTTAGATCTGAATAAAATATAGTATCTAGAACCAAGTGCACATTTCCTGGGCTCCTCGTGGCAGATTTCTTATTTACAAGTGCTGCACATAACAAAACCACGAAGAAATACATTTTTCACCTTTGGGTTCAGTCCCAGCTGCTCAGAGGAGCTTCAGAAAAGTTCAAAATATGTGTGAAGGAGTAAGATGAAAACAGGAGGTTTCTATCATACATAGCCTAGTCAGGTGAAGTAATAAGTAAAGAATGCAGGGCTGTAAGTTCTTGTAATCGCTCTCCATTGCGGATATCTGTAGTTGCTATCAAATGTCATGGTCTCAGCAAATACCTGAGACACTGGAACAGGCTTCCTAGAGAGGTGGTCGATGCCCCATGCCTGTCAGCGTTTGAGGCATTTGGACAATGCCCTTAATAACATGCTTTAACTTTTGATCAGCCCTGAAGTGGTCAGGTAGTTGGACTAGGTGATCGTTGTAAGTCCCTTCCAACTGAACTATTCTATTCTAGCTGTTAAAGCTAGCGAGTCTTTTCAGTTGCCTCCTGATCAAGCAAAAGTGTTGCCTGTGGGTCCAACTTTCTGGTACAACGCTTGTATTCTTTCCACATGCCAGTACCTGTATCAGAAGCTGGCCAGTTGACTCAAAATCCTTCTCAGTTCTTCAAGCTGGAAGTTGCCAACATTTGTGTAGTCCACAGATGTTTAACATTCTTCATCCAAAGGGAGAAAGTCGTCGCAGTATTTCAGATGGAAGAAGTCTTCCTAAACTCCCTGCAGGAAGCTGCGTGGCCAATCTGTGGCCTCCTTCATCAGTGAGGAAGGAACTGGCGTGAGAGAGGGAGCTAGAAATTCTGATAAGATGGGAAATCTGCTGTTGGTCCCAGGAATATTACATTTTCTACATGGAAAATCTTTATTGCCATGTAGCGCTTTGACTTTTTTTTTTTTTTTTGTAACACAGTGTGTTGCCAAAGCCTTCATGAGCTTAAGTTTCAAATGTACATAATGCAATTTAATGCGTAGTGGCTTTGAATTTCCTAAAGGTGTAGTGGAAGAGTTGCCATATCAGATTTTGAGTGCTCTTGCTCTAAACTGCTTAGAACTTTTCTTTGGATGTCCCAACATTCAGAAATGTGGTTAAAATACAATTTGGTAGTGATTCATGTGAAAGGTGGTTAAATCTTATAGGAAGCATGAAGAAAAAAGAGACTTCCAGAAATTCCAGCTTCCCCCCACCACACACTGTGTTTTCCCTTTTTGATTCCATTTCCTATGTCATATATGAAAAAAACCTCATCAGATCTAGGAAGCTTAAGCTGGAGGGGAAGCCATTAAATAATTCAGCCTGACTTTCCATTTTTTACAGGTTATGAAATATCACTTGCCCATGGATTGAGCTTAGTTATCTTTGACAAATGCATAATCTGTGCATGGATAAATAATATCTTTCAGAATCATAACTAGCTTTCATTGGAAGAAGTCATACAGGTGGTTTTGAAAATTTTACTCATCCTGTAAGAGTTTAAATACTTGCAGCCCTGATGCACTTTGTTTTCTGGAAATGTATAGAAAATAAAAGTGGACTGAAGGAAGTCACTACAGTTGGATAATGGAAAGGATACTTAGCTTATGGTTATGAACAGATATTCACTTGGCCTTTTGTATGATGTCCCATAGCATTGCAACAGGTAATTCATTTTGTGCACTGACTGGACAAGTTAAAAAAAGAACACCCCCCCCAGAACCCAACCTTGCAACCACAAACTTCAGTCTCTCTCTTTTTCTTCATTGCTGTAGCTGCAAATACAGTGGAGCATTATGTGAAGCCTCAAGTCCTGTTAGCATGTTTGTACAACTGAAATGTTAGAGGGAGATTTGGGATGTGAGCCCAGATCCTGGAACTTTTTTATTACTATGCTTAAGAAAGAAATACATTTGAGGTAGTGAATGTAGTGAGGATACTGTACTACAGGCCAAAGCTTAGTGGATTTTTGCCATGACATTTATGCAGTGCCATCTGAAGTGATATAAGACTGGAATACGTAATGTTCCTCTCTAAAACATGATCTTCAGCTCTCTGGCTGCGATCCAATATAGAGCTCTTGGCCTTGCAGAAAGTTACAGATTTGGTATTTTTCAAGACAGCTCCCTGACTCTTTACTGCAAGGAAGAACCCACCTTTGCTTAATACATCGGGGAAGTAGTATCTTCAGAATTGATGTTTAGAAACAAGAACATCAGGAAGGTTGTCCTTGGGGATTAAGGTGCCTCTTGCAGTGCTCAGCCATATGACTGCAGATCCCAGATGCTGATGGTGTTCAATGACATCAGTAGAGGTAGTTCTTACACAGAATGCATCCTGAAGCTAAGCAAGCTGCTTGTAAATATTTATCATAAATTATTAGAGGAATTTGTGTGTGTATGTGTGGTCTGAATGGTGTTAAAGCTTGCAGACCTTATTTCACCGTAACTTCACTGATACCTGTGTTTGTAATTCAGTGCTGTAACTTAACCTGTTAGTGAATCCATCTCCCTGAGGAAAACCCAAATACCTACATTCATGTTGCCCTTATCTTTTCCCTGTTCACACACATGTACACAGACACTTGCTTATAAAACCTATGAAGGTACGTCTTTTTAAGCCAGCCTCAGGGCTTTCTGCACCACTGCTAAACACATCCAGCCTGGGTCAGAGCTCACACTCTCCTCTTGGAATAGTCTGTTCAGGGGAGGACAGAGGGAAGTCAGTCTGTCAACAGCTTTGCACTGCTACTGTGGGAACTCGTATTACAGAGGAGTTTTATGCCAGTATTTATTCCAGCTTGGCTAGGTCTGTTGTTCACCTTCTTTGTACTCCATCAGAGATGTGAAACAGCTAAGGAACTGGGAAATCTAGGGCATGGTTAGCAAAAGGTGCCCTAAGTGGTAAAATCAGTTAGTAATAAAAAGCTCTTTTGTCATCATTACCCATACAATGTGACCATGAATCAGCCTTGTGATAGTACTGCCCTACTTTAAGCATAGAAAAGAAAAAATCTGAGCTCTGTTAGAAAAGGGAACTCTTCAGTGGACGCAATTTTGATGTGCTGGGGGGTAAGGTATTTAATAGCTAGCTTAAAAACTTACCTGTACGCGGTGTACCCTGGTAGCGTTGATCCTTTCCTTCAGATTAGCTATACAGTCAGCAAATTTCAGGCTTTCTGCTGTGCAGTAGTCCTTGCGTGACAAAGAAAGACTCAAAGGTAGCTGTGAGGCTTGGTTTTGGCCACCATTCTGATGTAAGCAAGTCCCTTGCTGTTTTCAGGATTACAAGACGCTGGCATACACCCTTGCTGCAGGCTTTCTGCTTCGTCCATCTCTTAGGCTCTGCCCCCTTCTCCCACGATTCAGCCCCATGGTACAAAGCTAGTTGCTTTCAAGGAAGGCTCTGTCTACCCTTGCAGCACAGGGTTTTGCAGCAGGGCCAGCATTAATGCAACTTAGCTTAAACAGGAATCCTTCCTTCCTCTTGCCAAATCATGCACTTTCAAGCAAAACACATGGAATAGTATCCCCCAAACTGTTATTTCTCTGTTCCATGAAACTCTAATGTTGTAGTTTTAGCTCTGAGGTTTGCCTTTGTGATCTTCACGTTGCGTTAATTAATTGTGCTTGCTTATAGTAAAGCCACAGGTCTGGTTAAGTGTAACCAAAGTGAGGGATTTTATTGGCAGTTTGATATACTGTGGTATTGTGTTTCAGTTAGAAATCTTGCTGTTGGCCGTATCCAAACATACTGAACTCAGTAGAAAGGCTCCCAGGTGTTTACCAGTAGTTTGGATGAATTTAGAAGAATCCTCTTTGGAGCCAAGAATTGGCCTTGCACATTCTGAAAAGTGTGAAATTGATGCAGATACTTAATCATATGATGTGCCTTTTGACTTCCCATTTCAGATGCTAACATGTGTTTTCTTGTTACTGTTTAAAGGTCAAATGGCTGGTGATCACACACGGCTGGAGTTCCACAACATAGAAACAGGAATAATAACAGAACGGCGCTACCTGTCTTCTGTGCCTTCTAATTTCATTGGGCATCTACAGAGTCTTACATTTAATGGCATGGCATACATTGACTTATGTAAAAACGGAGACATCGATTATTGTGAGCTAAATGCAAGATTTGGGTTCAGGAACATCATAGCAGACCCTGTAACCTTTAAAACAAAAGCAAGTTATGTTGCATTGGCCACGCTACAAGCATATACATCTATGCACCTTTTTTTCCAGTTCAAAACAACCTCTCTGGATGGATTGATACTTTATAACAGTGGCGATGGAAATGATTTCATTGTGGTTGAATTAGTAAAAGGGTATGTATGGATTAGCATAATAACAAAACCAGTCTACTCAAAATGTATATACAGGAGAAGTCCAAGGGGGAAAGTTCAGGATACAAATCTTTACCTGACTGGACATATATGATTGATGAATGTTGCTTCATGTTAAATTTCATATGCTTTATTGTGACTCTTTCTTTCAGATGAAGCTAGATGCCTGAAAAATATGAAAGTAAATAATAGGTATAACTTCTGTAGTGTTTACCACAAAGAAGTACTAGTTTGTAGCCTTCCTCTTGTTCTCTCTCTACGTATGTATGCATGTATTGGTACATGTAGTGCTCGTTACTTTCCAGAAACTTGGGACTGCATCTCAGCTCATCTAAACGAATGGTGATTTCTCTGAATTAAGGTCACTTCCCCATCTGGCATTCATTGCTGTCTTCTGGTTTTGCCAGCATTACTGAGGAGTACAAGGAAATAGGAAATATTGGACATGTTAATTAGTGCCCCCTTGCTACGTAAAGAAAAAGGAAACTTTTCCAATTTTTTCTCTTTTCCCAGGTATTTACACTATGTATTTGACTTGGGAAATGGTGCAAATCTCATCAAAGGAAGTTCTAATAAACCTCTGAATGACAACCAGTGGCATAATGTGATGATATCGAGGGATACCAACAATCTGCACACTGTAAAGATTGACACTAAAATCACAACACAAAGCACAGCAGGAGCCAGAAATTTAGATCTCAAAAGTAAGTACAGTAATTCCTGCATAACCTACAGTGAGGGTCATTACAGAATGGTAACCTGAATAAATCACATATGTAAAGTACAGTATAATTTTGTAATACCATATGAAATGTTTTATTTGATAATAATTGATATGGTCACAAGAGATGATGACTTCTTTGTTAGCCTGACAATGCCAGTTTAGTAGTAGTTCTGCACAGTTAGGCACAACTTTAAATGTGCAAAAATGCCACAGGAAAAAAAAGTATAAAATGGTAGGAACACAGAGTGGCCCTTATATACCAAGAGATAATTGGGGGACTAAAGAGGCTCTAAAACGTCTATGAAAAAAGCTTGGTTTTTACATGAACATAAGTTAGATAAGTGGCATGCAGAACCACAGCCCAAGCTTTACAGTATGACTACAAAGACTTTGCAGAACTGATGATCTCTATGTTAGAGAATTGGGGGACATTTTGACCTGTCCCTTACTGTTCAGTATTCCACATAAACCCGACTTTTTATTGGGAAAATAAATGCAATGCAGCATTTTGATGTCATAAAATACCTTGTAAGTGAAGCAATCTTACGTGGCAGTCCTCCAGTGAATCAGTTATAAATACTAGTTGCCAGATGTATTGAACCATAAACATACTCGCCTAAATATGTAGTATGTTGTAATTTCAATTGCGAGGTGGGATAAACTTTGTTTTGTAAGTCTAAACCTACATTTTATAGGTCCAGCTAGATTCTCAAGATCATTTTCAGAAACCAAACTGATATATATGTAGATTTTAAAATAAGTAATTGTAATCAGTTGTAAGGCTGGGCTTCTGAAAAGCTAATTTGCACCAGAGGAAAATATCTTTTTGAAAGGATGTATAAGTATACTTCTAAAATACTGTCTACCTAGTCACACATAAGAAAATATGTTCTGGTCATGTGAAAAAGTATTGTGTATTTTAACATTCTTTATAAAACTTCTTGTTAGGAAACCCAAAATTTCATAATAGTCAAAGAAAATTTAATATTTTAAAAGCCAGGATGTTCAAAGTAGATTATTAATATTCCATCAAGAGCTTATTCCTTGCTCAATTTTCTTTTAACTACCTCTGAGTCACAGATAATGAGCTGACCTTAGTAATTATTCTGGATTTTGTGATATTTTACATGTTTGCTTCACTTGAAAGTGTTATTAGGATTGTAAGAAAGACTCTTGATATGCCATAATCTCCAATAAGAGATTCTTCATCAGAAATGCTTGGTTTATAAATTAAAGCTTTTTGGATGGTTCACACTCCATTCTCAAAATTGTTTTTAAAATTTCTGCCATGTTATTTCTCATTTTTGCATTCTTGTAAGTATAGTCGATGTTTATTGACACAATGTAATATTTCAACGTTATTTTTGATGCTGCAGAGAAAGCATCCACCTTATTCTTTCACATTTTTTGCGGTAGTAAGTACTATTATGCGTATGCGTGTATATGTATTTAATCTGGTTTTCTTTTTTCCCAGTATATTAATTAGACATGAGTAGGAAAAACAATCCTGTTAAGAACTGACAACTAAGTTAACACAGTCATTTTATTCTACATCTTTTTCAAACTGAACGCGGTGTTTTGGTACGTTGCTTTATTTAAGAAAACAGTTTGAACAATATGCTTAATAAAGGCACTAGAGGGCAGTGTTATTTCACTAAATGCACTGCTTAGTGCATTCACAGGGAAAGCTCGTCAGTCAGGATAACCTATAAAATCCAACATTCCTTTGTTTTCTTCACTTTGAAAATTCTACTTTTGTTTTACCCTTTTGAAGTAAAACTGTATCCATAGCTGATGCATTTTCTAACCTTGAATTCCATTGGAAAAAACTGAAGAACATGACCAAACTTACTGAGATTTGAAGCGAGGAAGGTGAACGGAGATGCTGATTTTCTCTAGTTCACCACCCAGGAAATGTGCCTAGTAAAAGAATAACAAGCCTGACATATTCAGTACAGTAATGTATAGTGTGCATCTTTCTCAAACTGATCTAGCTTACACAGGTCCTCAACCTCTGTCTTCTCATAGTAGTACGTTCATTTTATTTTTTTAATGTATTCTATTACATTTTGCTCAGTCAGCTTCCCTTAAATATGATACAGCATATAGCATGAGAATTTATATTGGATTTGGGGGGAGTTTGAGCTGATATGTTTTAGCTAGCTAAAAAGGAGAAAAAAAAATGCCTTTCATTATTGTTTTTTCTTCCATTGTATTCACTTGAAATGCTTTCCTGTGGCTCATTCTTTTCTATTTTTTGTCAGTCTTTCTTATGATGACACATCTCTGTAATGCTATAAACACTCCATACACTTTACCGATACAAGCAGCTATGGTTAATTCATTGTTCTGTATTATTTTAGCCCTAGCAACAAAGCAAATTCAAAATTATACTTCCTGCTAGTGACATTAATAATTCTGTTTAACCAGAGTTAGCATTAGGTGAAATATAGATGTGTACAGATAACACAGAATCTGCAGCCTTTCTGAGTAATTGTAGAGTTACCAGATTTCTGATGCTAAAATCCAAGTTAATCCTGGAAAGATAAATCACATACATGCAGGTTTTTGCAAATACACAGTGAATTTGGTATGGAGATATGACACAGATTGTGTTGTAGAGCATGCACAGCATGCTGGTTGGCTGGGAAAGCAGACAGTTGCCATAAAAGTATGGGAGAGAATTTCTACTATATGTTTCCTTTTGGGTGTAGGATTTGGCTATATAACACAGAAAGTTCATTATTACAGATGTCGGTTCCCTGCATAACCTCTGGTACAATTTCAGTGGACTGGCATGGGTACCTGTGGAAACACTTATATTAAACTCTCCAGCTTAATTATTGCTGTAATTAGATGGGTAAATTATAAATTGGATACAAATAAATGAGTGAAAAAACGTCTGTGTTTGGATTCCAAGAACTGTGTTATTTTTCCTAGCAGAGAAAATTAGCAAAGTGTACTCAGGTGCAGTTCTAGCAGATAACCCGTGAAGATAAATGAGTCTTAACAGCAAAGGCAACGCAGCTCAAGCCTGCCAATATTCAGTTACACAGCAAATTTCCTTTCATGTCTTTCATGAGCAGATTCCCTGTCCTGCTTTCAGTATAGCTCAGATGGTTAGCATGGCTACAATTTAAGGTCTTCGCAGAGTGAAAGAGTTGGGCGGAGGGGAATTCTTGTTTGCTGTACTTAATGCTGTGCTCTTACGGTCTGAGGGCTCTGAGTAGCCTCGAAGCGGCACAAAAATGCAAGCAAAAGTGGAATTCGACTTGTGGTCTTGTTCCTCAGCTGTTGCCAGAGAAAAGATATCTCCTTTGTTCAGACCGTAGGTATTACAACATCTGTAATGTCTCTTCCCTCTCTACACTTTCTTCCTGTGGTGTGGGAAATTAGAGTTCTGTTGGACCTTTTTTTTTTTCCTTTTAATAAATATTTGAAGACACATGATCTGCTTTCGAGGAGGAGGAACGTCCTCAAGCATGGTTTTGTATCCACTTACCTACTAGGGTTTGTTTAATCTTCTTTTTGCTTCTCTCCTACACATATAAGGCACTATTTTAATCCCCAAAGTTTTCACCCACTTTCTTTAAACAGCAAACATACAAAAACCTACAAAAATCCACTCAGAATTCTCTTAGAGTATCTCTCAGAAAATTAAAGTATTTTAGCATTTTTAATTTAAATTGAAATGAAAAATTGAAATATTGCACTCTTGCAAAATGAAAAGCTAAGGAATGCTGCTGTTATTTTAGATTTAACAATAAGTAGTTAACAAATTTTTCTAGGAGTTGGTAGTTTCAGTACTTCAGTATCCCATCCTATTCCAAACTTTCTAGCTATGCTGTATCCTCCAGGATGAACTGCAGTCATCCCAATTTTGATATTGGGCTAACTATATTTTCTTTTTAAAAGGAAATCACCATAAAAAAAAAAAAAATCCTACCCAACTCAATATTTATAGTTTTATTTTTGTTGCCTGTGCATCATTTCATACATTAAGACCTGCTTTTTTGAATTGACATCCATAATTTCAACTTGTCTCACTGTCATCCTCTTCCACACAGCTTTCCCAAATGTCAATTTTAGAGTCCATTGTAAGTCATATGTTATTTCTGTGCTGTTATATCATTGCATCCTCAAAAAATGCTCTTCATATTAGAGCATACATCAGAATCAACTTCCTTGGATTTAAAAAAACCTGTCTAGACCTCTTGTCTGGTTTACTTTTATTTCTGTAGCTCTTCACTGGCCTCTGGCTTCCTCTATTCCTTTGTGAGATATGGCTGCTGTTACTGTATACATTTGCTTTTCCATTTGCCGTTTTCTCTGATAATGCGAAAACAGGCTAGTCTGAATCATCTGAAAGAAAAGTAATCATATTAATTTCTGGTACCACCTCAGTGGTTTTACAAATGCACTGAAATATACTGCTTCCATGTACATAAAGACTCTCTTGGCAATTAATTCATCCTTGTAAACTTTTAATGCAATTAACTAAATTATCAGTGGATCTACTAGCCTGGCATATTCATTGATGATTTGCAGTAGTCACTTAATCTATTGATATTTCATTTGCCTGTCAAAGTAGGTTTTTCATACTATGCAAAACTGAGCTAAATTAGTCTTGATCATAAAGAAGATTTCTTGTTCCAGCAACGGTAATTGAAATTGTTTCAATTTCATATCATATTTGTCTGCATTGTCTTACATTGAGCCCATTATTATTGTTGGTGCATTATATGTTCTTCTCTATATTACAAGGTCTATATTAATGCCACTGATCCTTCATATTTCTGTTACTAAGAATCAAAGCTTTAAGAAGCACAGAAAAGTATTTTATATAAAAACTCAAATTTGTACAAATGAATGAGTATTAATGCTTAAATTTCTCAAATAAACATGCATGAGCTAATTGTAATGACCTTGCCAGTGGGCTGTGAACTCTTCATGCAGAAATAATGTTCTGTTCCAAATGCA